GTTTGGAGTAAATTTGGAATACCATATAAATAAGGATAGTTTGAGATGTTCTAAATAAGTACAGTTTTTGACTTTTTAAATAAATAAAAAAATATATAGAAAAATAGATAAAGTGAGTAGAAAAATAAAGAGAAAATGTTGATTGATATGACCCAAATAAGTATATATATGCAAAAAAAAGTACACTTTTTTAAGTACATGCCAAACATCTACATAATATCACATTATACTTATTGAAATTTGGTTAATCAACAAAAGATTTAAAAAACTAAATAAAAATAAATATATAACAATAAAAAAATATTGTTAGTTCACTACAAGAATAAACACATTTGCCGACCACTTTTGCCGACCAAAAATATTTTCGTCGCAAAAAAGTGAAATTTGGCGACCAAAATAAAATTTGGTTGCTAAAATTTCAAACTATTACCGACTAAAAATATGTTGTCGCAAATAAGTATCTTTTTGTGACCAAATTCTATTTTTTGTCAGCAAAAATATAGGCAGAAAATGAAAATTTGGCTGCAGCAGGTGCGATCTTTCACCGGCTAATATGAGTTTGTCGCAGAAACCAAAACGACGTCGTTTTTCTATGTAAATTCCCAATCAGTCATTAGCCGACCAACATGTTTGTCGGGGATTCCATTCCTAATTCAAACACTCGCATAAAACCAAATCCCCGCATCTTTTGGCAAAAATATCGAATTCGATCAGACCAAAATTCGCACCAATCACCTCACCTAACCATCAACCTTGTCGTCTGCCGTCCTCACCTCTCCACCGTCTGCGCCGCCGTCCGTCTTCGCCATTTCTGATTTGTCTTCGCCATTTCTGATTCATCTAGGTATTTTTTTCGAACTGATAATCGTCTCTCTGTTTATATCTCCACAGATCTGTGTTTCACTTTTCTCTCTTTGCATTTTTTTACTCCTCTTTCTCATACTCGTCTTCTTCTACAATGTGTCAGCCACCAGGGCCCTCACCATCGTGATTTTTCGAAGCATCTTCAACCCTCCCTAGCAACAATTGCAGGTACAAATCTGCTGTATCACTCTCACTTACCCAGTCTCTGCCTGTGTCTCCCTCTCACTGTCAATGTTTGTGTTGATGTTTGCTGCTGGGATATGTGGAGAATACCATTTCACTTTGTTGTTTGTGAAGTCCCCCAATCTATTATTTTCCTTGGAGTGTGTTATTTCTCCTCTTTCTTTTAAGTATCCCTTTCTATATTGGCAAATATACGTAATGAGAATCAAATATTTTTTATTTTTTTTTTCTTTTATAAGTTATTTGAAAAATCGAAGCATCATTGGGGAACATTTTTAATATTATAGTTAAAACAAGCTATACTACTTGTCTTATGTTTCAAAAGTTCCGCAAAGATTGAAGCGGATGATGAAAAACCACATGCAAAATAGGTCTATGATTAGTGCTAAGTTCTTATTTTCCTTTCCTCTTTCTTTTTGGGTTACATACCTTCTGTTTTGAGACTGGAATCAGTAGCATTTGCTTTTATAAGTTATTTGAAAAATCGAAGCATCATTGGGGAACATTTTTAATATTATAGTTAAAACAAGTTATACTACTTGTCTTATGTTTCAAAAGTTCCGCAAAGATTGAAGCGGATGATGAAAAACCACATGCAAAATAGGTCTATGATTAGTGCTAAGTTCTTATTTTCCTTTCCTCTTTCTTTTTGGGTTACATACCTTCTGTTTTGAGACTGGAATCAGTAGTAGTACGTACCTTCTGTTTTGAAATGAAAAATATATATTTGGACGACTTTATCTCTGCATACACATATGGTATCTCTCTATTTTCCATCAACTTAGTATAACATTAGGTCATCCAATTCTGGGATATATGGGGGTTTGTTGATCAAAGGATATCTTTGCATTGAGGATTAGAGTTACGCCAAAAGAGGGTGATGTCATTTTGAGTCTCTGTTCTTAGATAAGCAGCTACACATGCTTTCTTGAATGTGTGAACCTGCTCATTATGTCCGAACATCATAATAGACCACATATGTAAGAAGCTACATTAATATGTGAACATAAATTAAATCTGGTGAAGGAAGATGATAAACCAGGGAAGATATTCAGTTTAGACTTCAATAATGCCAGATCCATGTTTGTTAAAAATATACAACAACTATATTCAATGCCAAACATAATCTTTAACTAGTTTGCTTTGAAGATCAAGAACATCATCAAACAGTAAAGCAGCCCCAAAACTCATATATATAGAACATTTGAAAAGAAGCTTCTTTAACTCATTCATTCGTACATCTAAAAATTGTACCCATCTCCCTTTCATTCCCTCTCTTTAATTTCCACTATCTTATCTCATTCCAACCATATTACAGAGAGAGAAATAAAAGATTTTCCAGATGAATATCAATCAGAAAGTGATTAAGAGGGAGATAAGTGTTTCCCAAAAACAAAACAAAAAAAAAAAAAAACACAAGAAAAAGTGCTTACTGTTCTAGCTTAGTAGTGCATCAAGAACTCTCATACCCCGTTGCAATGATAATGTTGAAGAAGCCTATTGCCTTCTCTAAGGCCGGCTCCATGAGTAGTTGAATAATGGGTTCTATGTGTTGCTTCACCTGCAAACAGAATTTGGAGTGGAGGAGAGGCAACAGCCTCATAATTTCCATTTTTGGGCAATGGCATAGAAAAGAACCAACACTGAGCTTTCCATTAAAGCCTTTTGCTGCTATAAACTTACAATACTCAATCTCTTCATTGCTCAATCCTTCTTCACTCACCTTTCCTTGAGCAAAATCTAGTAGTTTGTTGAAAAAACTAGTTATTGAATCAACAAGTGATGGATTGAGTTCATGCCTACCTTCAGCAATAGTGAGTGGATCGTGTAAAAACCCATCCATACACTTCCAATGCTGATTAGAGTCAAGTGAATGGATTTCTTGAGCAATTTTCTGAATTGGGCTACCTTCAATGCCGTGAATCCAAGTAGCACCCATCTCAATCCTATCACCACCAAACTCAGAAGTGTTGATTCTTCCACCAATTCTAGTCCCACCTTCTACTACACAGAGCTGAAATGATTCGTTCGAGCCCTGTGATGTGGAGTGCTTGCTGGCAGCTGTGAGACCAGCCATTCTAGCCCCAATAATCACAATTCTCGGCTTCTTGGCCACCATTGTTGCTACAACTTGTTAGTTTTTTAACTTCTCTTCTTTTCTTTTCTATTATTTTCTCTGTAGGACATAAGCAGAGGAATATATTAAGGACAGGGCTCTACTTTTCTTTTCGAAACTATCAACACTCCAAATTCTAAACTATCAACACTCCAAATCCCAAACTATCAACACACACTCTCTCTCTGTGTGTGACACCTCTTGTCATATATATATATATATATAAACATAGCATTATAATACTAAATTATTTACAAAGGAAGGTAGAGCAAATGTTGTTGATGCCAAGACCCAATAATAGGTTGATGATTCCTTTCACCAACCTCACATGGAAATCCAGTTAATGACAGCCTACCAACTCCAACCTTTGAATATTTTCTAATTAGTCAATAAATGGGTTTCGACCAGGTAATCATCAAATAGATGTAGCATTAAAATTGTTGCCACTTTAGGTACTATTACATGTTAAATTATTTATTTATTTATTTATTTTTAATTTCCTCTGGCCTTGGAATGAAATGGAATATTAATGTCCTAAAACGCTGTACCACGGTGGTAGGACAACACTGGTGAACAATATTGATGTAGAAAGTACTCTCTTCTTCCTGTCTTGTTAATCACATAGGATCCATCTTCAAGTGCACCATCAATTGGAAGCTCTTTTAAGTTGAGAATATGTATATTAGCCGCGTTAGCGAAAACACATGATGATTCTATGTCTGTTCAATAACAATAAATTATCTTGTCATACATTTTCCATTAATATTATGACATACAGGTTGCTCGTTATCATACTAATTATAAGTACCCTATTGTCTTTAGTGTAACGGGCAGTGAATTGGCAATGGCATTATTAGTATTAGCAATTACATTTGAAAATGGTCATTTTTAGTCGTTAGTTTGAAGCTGATAACTATTGCTCTATTTGATCAACCTATCTGTCTAGATGCCCTTTTTGATAACAATTACTATTGCTCGATTTAATGATATAATGTTTTGCTAGATGGACTCTCTACCATTTCAATGCTGCTGGATTTTTGACTTCTTTAGATGATGACTTGAAGTCTTATTATATACACAATTAAAAAAACAAAAAAAAGAGGCCCAATTAGTACACATTAATGTGTCTTTAAATAACCATAATTTAGATATTTAGGAGATATTGTAGGATAATCCAAAAAACTAGGAAACTAATATAACATTAAGAACTTATTCCTAAAAAAATACAAATATCAAATAAAATAAATTAAATAAATCAAATACAATTTTAAAATTACAAAATAACAGTCCAAAGGGATATGAAGCTTGTTCCTCACAAAATTGTGAATAAAGATGGAAAGCCTTGTATCGAAGTTAAGATTAAGGATACAAAGCCCAAGGTATTTAGCCCTAAGAAGGTCAATGCTATGATTCTAATTAAGATAAAGGAGACTGTGAGGCATTCCTTGGGAAGAAAATCAATTAAGGATGTTGTTGTCACAGTTGTTGGTGAGTAGAACTCTTCTAAATTACTACTATTATTCTCCACTCTTCCAAGGATGCTGTGGTACTCCCTTTTACTTTTTTTTTTTGTAACCTACAGCCTACTTTAATGATGCCCAAAGGCAAGCTACCAAGGATGCTGGTATTATTGTTGGGCTGAATGTTGCTAGAATTTTAACTGAACAATCTGCTACAGCTATTGCCTATGGATTCGACAGTAAAGGTGGTGAGAAGAACATCCTTGTGTTCGACCTTGGTGGTGGCACATAAAAAGTTAGACAATTTTTTTTTTTAGCACAACAAAGCTATTGCAAATCTCAAACTGTCATGATGATACATTTGATGGACTATATAATCAAATAGCACTGACCACGGATCCACTAGTAACAGAAGGGTTTAGAGTGTCTGGTCGATTTGTTGCCATCAGAACTTTGATGTTCCCTCGAGCATCAAACCCATCAAGCTGATTCACAATTTCAAGCTTAGTGCGCTGAACCTCATTGTCTCCATCCACACCATCATCAAAACGTGCACCTCCTATGGCATCTAGTTGATCAAAAAACACGATACAAGCTTTTTTGGAACGTGCCATCTGAAATAGTTCACGAACCAGGCGGGCACCCTCCCCAACATATTTCTTAACAAGTTCACTTCCAATAACACAGATGAAACACGCATCAGTTCTATTAGCCACAGCTCTAGCTAAAAGTGTCTTACCGGTACCAGGTGGACCATAGCATAGAACACCCTTAGGAGGGTCGATTCCGGGGTTCACAAACTTTTCAGGATCATTCCTTTGAAGTAACTTCATAAGGAGAAACAAATAAACAATAAACAAAGAAAAAGAAAAGAAAAGAAACGAAAAAACAGAGAAAACCATAAATAAGAGGAAGATTATTTTCAACATTGTAGTAGTCTTCTATGTCTGTCTGTGCTTGTCAAGCTTGATTGTGTTTTCCATGACCACATATGAACCTTGCACTTTTCTCTGTGTAAACATGAGTCTCATTGTCCAATCTATTAATACCCATTTCAAATTTGTAATTAGCAGCTTATACTCTAAAATTGATAATTTAATTACCTGCAAATGAGTTAGAAATTTTGATTTGAACTTATGATTCTCTGAAATTGATAATTTAATTACCCATTTCAAATATTTTCATTAAAAACAAACCGAACATTATTTCTCATTTTCTTTGGTATTGATGGATGATGGATGATCTCGTGCACGAAGCATTGTACAAGACTATAAGCATTTTTGGGAGGATTAAATATTTTTAGATGGATGTGTATGGATAACAAATATTAGTAGTTTTATTTGTTGATAGCTGCGCATGGATAATAAATAGTTATGTTTCAAATTGTTATGCTAGATGGATATGACCTGTGAATGAAAACTTAGTTGTGTCGAATGTTAATGAATTATGTGTTGTGTCGAATGTTAATGATTCAGTTGATTTGAATGATGCTTTAAAATTATAGGTTTATTATGGATTGAATGAATTATTAGGAATTACAGGTGTATTGTTTTCCTGCTTTTGGCGACCAATTTACTAGTCGCGACAAATAAATAATTTTTGTTCCCAAAAAATGACAAATGCCGACCAAGAGTTTTGGTCGCAAAAAATACATCTATTGCTGACCAAAACAGCTCTTGGTCGTGGAATCTCACTTTTGCCGACCAAAAGTTTTGGTCGCGAAAAGTAACAAATGGCGACCAAATTTTTTGGTCGTAGAAACTATTATTTAGCGACAAAGAAGTTTTGGTCGTGGAATGTAATTTTTGCCGACCAATTTTGTTGGTCGTTGAAAGTAATTTTTGCCAACCAAATTAGCGACTAACATGTATGGTCATTGAATGTAATTTTTGCCGACCAAAGTCTTTTCGCGACTAAATAGGTTAGTCATGATAATTATATGTTTAGCGACCAACAATTTAGTCGCCAAATTAAACGTTTTGCCGACTAAAAATCTTTTTAGTCGCTAATTACTTTCCGCGACCCTCAATTGTCGACCAAATTGGCGACTAAAAAAATTGGTCGGGAATATGTTTTGTCGACCAAAAATTGGACTTTTGCCGACCAAATCTTTAGTCGGCAAATGTGTTTATTCTTTTAGTGGTTTTATTTTAAGCAAAAGGTCAACCCTTGTCGCTGCCATGCACTTCCTGTCCTATCCTTTCGATAATCCTTAGATTAGACGAAGGGAGGGAGATACGGTGGAATAAGGAAAACGCTTTCGGAGATCGAGATTTTATTTGTTTTTCTTTGAAAACGAAGAAGGCCGAGGATGGCCTAGGGTAGGGGCAGGGCCACATTGGGCTCAGGGGGTCACGTGCCCCCCGAGTTTTGGGAATTTTTTTTTTTTCAAAACATAAATAAAATATATTAAATAAAAAAAATTATAAAAAAATTATTTAAAGTGAAGTGTCAATGACATTTTTAAAATTATGAAAATAATAATGGTTATTTTGATTGAAAATAAAGAGGTTATAAAAAGTCATATTATTATCTATAAAATTTCAATATAATGGTGATGTCTATTATTATTGACATGCAAACATAATTAATTTCAATGAAGATATAGAATTTATTGGATTGTTAGTTACATTTGAGATGTAGAGTTTATCCTTCATGTGTTTCTTTCCATTCATAACTAAAATGACCACTATATAAATTATAATCAAGCAACACATCTTCAATTATAAAAATAAAAAAAATTACAATAGGTCATAACTAATATCAGAATGAGTCATAACTAATGATTACTTGATATGTAGTCATAACTAAAATAACAACCACAAGAAATTATAACTAAATTATATCTAACACTATAATGTGTTATAACTAAAGACCACAAAGATCATAATTGCGACATATGATAGAGACTTTTTTTGCGGTATGTTTTATAGAATTTCTCTACTAAAACATATCATTTCTGTGTCAACGTATCTTCTTTTTTAATTTACCAATCCACCTATAAAATAGTTACTCCTCAAAATTTGTATAAAATTTAATCTCAAATCCTTTAATTTAAAATTCACATTTATCTAAATGAACTCTTAACATTTAAGTTTAGTAATATCTCATTGTTGTTTATTATGAAAAAAAAAAAATCAGTATATTTAGTTTGAGTTTTTTGGATTAAGTTTTTTGAAAATTGAGTTTTTTGATATTTTGTGTTTTATTTTTTATTTTTAGTGAATATTTTAAAAATTTTAAACATTTTTTTTTAAATTTTTTTAGATGCACCTTACTTAGATGTATCTAAAAAGTAAAAAATTTATTAAAAAGTATTTTAAAAAATTAATAAATATATAAAAATATAAAAAATGTACTGAATTCTAGTATTTTTTTACTTAATCTTGGTATACTTAAAAAGTATAAAATTTGTATAAAAAATTCATTGAATGCAACAAAAATATGAAAATGTATTAAATTTTTGTTTTTTTTTTTTTGTATTTTTTATATTTTTTTGTATTTGTTGATTTTTTTAAAAAATGAATATTATATTTTTTAAGCATATCTAGAATAAGTGCATCCAAAAACAATTGTGTAAAATATTAAAAAAATTCAAAAAATTTTCAAAAAAAAAATACAAAAAATTAAACATTAATGTTTTAAAAAAATGCCCGATATGTAAATCACCCAATAAAAAAAAAAAAAAATAAATAAATTACAGAACACAAGTTGATTAAATATTTTTTCTTACATTATATGTTAAGGAAGGGATCTTATTTTGGACTGAAGGGTGTTGTTTGGGACCATAGGGTTTATCATGGGTTCCATTTTAATGATTCAAATCATTCATTTTATCGGACATTTTGTGGATTTTATTCACACAAAAAAATAGATCGATCCAATAATTATAACTTACTCAACTTATTATGTTTTTAAAAAAAAAAAAAAAAAAGTATGGTATATTTTTAAAAGCATAATTTTTTTTTTGTTAAAAACGCAATAAATTGAATAAGTTACAGTTATCGGATTAATCTAATTTTTTGTATCGATAAAATACACAAAGTATCTGATAAAATAAACGATTTAGATGATCGAAACCGTGGTGAGCCTCAAGGTCCAAACAGTACCCTCTAGTCTAAAATCTAAACTGAATTCCATATTTTAATTTCATAAAAAATACGTCATTTTGATCCTTAATAGCTCAAAACTTTGGGCAAAGTGGACCTAGAATTTCCCAAAACCCTTTACGCTAGTATTAATTATTAATTATTTTAAAATTATACAGATATGCCCCGTCAAGGTTTTTTTCAAAAAAAAAAAAAAAAAAAAAAAAAACTGAAAATGGGAGAAGAGGGATAGAGAGAAGAGGGAAGATAAAGTGAAAAATGGAGGAGCAAGAAAAAAAAAAAAATGATTTCTCACAATTAGTGTCGATAAATTATCTTACAATTGATCTTTTATAACTCAAAACAAGTATAGAACAATATGTTTATTTATATAAATTACGTATGTTATTTGTCACTTTTTATATTCGTAAAAATTAATGTTCTAGTTTACCCTTCATTTTTTTTTTTAAAAAAAAATTGTCAGAATACACTGCTGGAAAATCTATTGGCGTTTAAAAAATGCCGCTATAAGTGACAAAAACGCCGTCAATTCTTTTTATGACGCTTAACATCAAACGTCGAGGACGCGGCCATCAGTATAGCTTTATGGCGTTTTAAAAACGTCATGATTTAAGTATAGGCGGCGTTTTAAAACGCCGCCAAATGTCTTGCTAACAGTCTCTGACGTCACATTATGATATTTAGCGACGTTTTGAAACGCCTTTATAGACATTTATACATTTTAAAAATTTAGCCATTAGGGTTGAGATATAGTGACGTTTAAAAAACGTTGCCATAGCTTCTTTTTTTTTTAAAAAAAATTGTGTTAATTTTATGTGGTTGAATAAAAAAAATACCTATGATAAACAATTATTAAGAACTAATAATTGATATTTATTAAAATAATAAATAAACTAAATTTGAAAACAAAATTAAAATACCCGTCATAGACATTTATACATTTTTTTTTTAAAATAATAAATACTACATGTTTCAGTCATGTCATCGAAGTCACTGTCACCACCAACATTTTCATCTTCCGGGTTCCGAACGTAGCGGCTCATAAAATAACGAGGGTCAAGTGCTTCAGCCGAAGGTATAAACATGGCCTGCACATAACAAGTGAACATTGGTGAGTTTGCAAATTCTTAAACAATTGATTTCTTTCTGTTAAAAAAACAAAAAAGAAGAAGAAGATTCAAACAAAGGACCTTCTGCGTTGCAAGCGTGTCCCACTTGATATCCTTATATTGTGTTTAGTTGGGAGATTTGATGAGGGATTTGGAAAAGGAAATGGAAAAGGTAGGTGAAATGTAAATAAAACAAGCCTAAATTTCACCTACTTTCACACACCTTTTCCCTTTCCTTTTCCAAATCTCTCCCCAAATCTCCTAACCAAACACAACATTAAAGAAAAAATGTTGCTTTACCTGCAAAAATTAACTTACAGCCTTGCGCAGTTTCTATTGCCATCGTCACTTGCAAATAAGCCTCGATTAAATGTAGAAAATTGCTTTTACCTCTCTGGCCCCTGTTGCACCTAATCTTTGAACTGGATTTTCTATCAGCAATCTGAAATAAAGAAGAAAAAAAATATGTAGTTGCTAAATACATCTTTCTTGGAAATTTCTCAAATACAAAAGGACCCAAATGACTAGTACATCAATAAGAGTTCCATATAGCTGCCAGATATTAGTATCCATGGATCCTTAATTCTCTGCTGCTGAAGCAGCTGAACAGCAAACATGCATAAAAGTTGGACAAAGTAAAATGGAAACACATTTCTAATACATTTAAATATAATGCAAAATATAAAATGACAATTCAAAACAGAATCAGAGTAGGTTATTTGAAATACCTTCCTACTTGAGAATGTACATGCTCCAATTATAGAGGAGAAAGATCAATAGTCATAAACTTTTGATGATTTTACTTTCACCAAAATTCTCCAATAATCATTATTAAGAATTTAAGCTTGCTAGTGAAAAATATTAGACATTATAGTCATTTAAGTCAAGAATGAAAAAAATAAGACTTATTATTAAGAATTTAAGCTTGCTACTTGAGAACTGTATGCCTTTGAAAAGAACAGCAATGAAATTAAATTACCTCCTCACTGAGTTCTTCCACATCTTTAAAAAAAAAAACAAAGAAACAAATAAATAAATCTGATCCAAACAAGACTTATTCAACAGAAAATTACGCATTCATGAAACTAAGGTCCATTTGGGGTTAAACTTGTTTAAAAGATGCTTACCTGGAGGTGATAATGAAATAAGCTGTGACTATTGATAAAGATTGTTTAAATTTTCTGAAATAGTAAAATGCTGGGAATTGTCACTTTTACTTGGCAGTGATTTTGAAAATTGTTATAATTGATTGTATTTAATGGACTATATTTAATAAATAAGCTAAGAAACACCTCCATAATCAGGATATCTACTTAATTTTAAGCCACTCCTATCATTACCAAACAACTTGTTTTGGTGCTTCTTAAAAATAAGAAAACGCACCATCAAATAATCAAAACCCAAACAGGTTTAGCATCTATTTGGAACCTGGATGCCATACAATTTTACAGTTATTTCAAACAACAGGAAGCAGGAAATGGGATCTCAAGCCCACAGTTATATTCCAGGTACTTTACAAGAACAGAAACAAAAAGGTGCCTAGTTTGTGCAACAAAAATAACAATAGCAACAATAATGTACATACACCAATTATTGACAGAACATAGTGAGAGAAGCGTAAATCTTAGACATTATTTCAAATTGGAGCAGCTATTCTTGCTAAGATTAGTGCCTGTTCTGAGAAAATCAGGACGAAGACTGGAAGGAAATCTGAAGACCGTTCCCGCCAATTCCAGCAATCAAACATTGGAATCCACAGGTCTCAAGCTCCGCAATTACTTTATCAACAATTGTTCCTGATAACACTGATGCATGTAGTCAAAGGAAACATTTACAAAACTAATATTGTTAAACATATGTATTCATAAATTGAGTTCAATGGATTTGCTTGCTCACATTTTTTTCTTTTACCATGACAACTCAAATGTATGTATAGACTAATCAGAGAGCATAATTTTATTAAAATGGATGCTTGAAATAAGGATTCTGTCACTGAACCCAAATCCTCTTCTAATGGCACTTCAAAATTAGTCATATTTAGAATCCCATTAAGCTCCCAGATTTGCTAGTCATTAATAATCTTTCTACGATAATCTGTTAATCTAATTGAACCAATGCCTTTATTTTTGGATGAGAAGCAAACTGAATCAGTAGTTTAGAAAAAGTAACAGGGAAAAAAAAATCTAGTGCACCATTCCACATATCATTGATGTTATGATCCTATTTCTCAAAACCTAAACAAAGATAGCCAAGGGAATAATTTGTTTGAAATATGTATGAAATATTATCCATGTTGTAATGCAGTGACACACCTTCTAAAAGTGACAACGAATGTGACATGCATACAGATGCAACAAAGTTACAAACATAGTCAAGAATAGAAACCTTGCCGCCACAGGCTGACATTACGTAAGAGTCATTCTTTGAGAGTGCTATGCAAGGCACTGCTTCCTCAAGGTTGACCCCTGTGACATCATTAGTCATAAAAAGACCACTGTTTGGTTGCCATTGCTGTGGAACAACATTGGCAGTGGCCTTTAGACCCTCACCGAGTTCAAAATTCTCCTCCACAAATATCGACTAATAAAAGAAAAGAAACAGGAAAACATGTAAATGAAATTACTCCCAACTTGCTATTACCTTTCCACCTGGATTTTGTTCACTACGTGTCCACTTCCATAACTTCTGAATCCCATTAGACCCAAGTGCTAATACACCAAAACCGGAATTTGTATAGAGTAGTCGAGCAACCTGGATGTAGATGTGTCAGTCGAGCATAATCCAATAGATAGATTCTGCAGCAACAACTGAGTAGGAACACACCTTGTTGACTGCATCCATGCTGTCTGGCATGGTAACCTGCCGGCATTGAGCAGGATCTATAATTTCGGCCAACTGCCAGGGTTTGGTTTTATCAGTTACATCATCCAAAGTTTTTAGCTTTTCCATGTTTCTAGCCATAGGATCAACTCCATTCTAGGGGGGAAACCAAAATGTATAATTAGTCCAAAAGAAACAAATGTGACATTGTACATAAAAAATAAAAGAATAAAGAGTTGCTTGGCAGTCATAGAATCACTCTATTTTGGTCATTCTCTGTGTTCCATTCAAAATGGAACATGCTCATCGTGTGACAAAAGTCAACAGTATTCATGGGCAGGCACCTCTTAAACATGCATTGGTGTACTGTGATTGGAACCAAGTATATAATGTAAAATTCAGTTCTAAAATATAAAACTCCAGTCTAGACAATCAGTATACATAACTACTGCAGCAACAAACATTTGGCATACAAAGGGGGAGGTGGAAACAAAACAAAATTGGTTTGGTTTTCAGAATTTGTTTTCTGAATAAATTTCAAAAAAAAAAGAAGAACCAGAAACCTGATCAATGAACCCAAAGGTCTTTATCGATCCCATGATATAAATACTTCAACCCAAATATATATATATGTAAATATTATATAATAAAAAAATGAAAACGTAAGCATTGAAGGACCTTAATTGCAGCAGATTCAATAGGTGATCTTAATGCTTCAAAGGACGGGGCTTCAACTACTCCTAAAGATCTAAGACCAGCAGTGGTAGCGAGTATCTTTATTCCATTGTCTGCTGTAGTAACAGCTAGAAGATTTCCTTCCTTGTTGAATCTCAAGCGAGGAAGACTCTTTTAAGGCAAAAAAATGTCATAAAGTAAGAGCTTGTAGATGTTCCCGAACGCCTCGGGAGGGATGAGTCCCGTTCCGTTCGATATTGGGTTCACTACAGCTCAGGACTCTCAAATTGTCACGGTTCTTAATCTGAACCAAAGAGTCCAAATCTGGCAAATCGTTTTGAGAAAGCAGATTTTTTTTTGAAAGAAGTGCTGAACATGGACTGCTTTGCCAGATACAGAGTCGCCACCTAAATGTTTTATTTTGGGGAAATTTAGGAAACCCTGACTCGTTTGCCTAAGGCCACGTGTCTGTCATCACCAAAGTTGCCTCGGCTCGGGAACTTGGGTACGATTGGGGAAGGTCACTTCGTGAGCACCCCCGCTCGCCCGATCAAAGATCGGCCTCTACTAACCATGATATCTATTTTTGAAAACATTATGCGTTCTTATTCCGGTTATTAGCCTAGATTTACTATGTGATGCGCACAGCATACAAGTATAGACTGGATCGCCTGAATTGGAACAAAACATTTCATATTTATTTATTTGAAAATGGTTTGATGGTGCTACCCGCAAGTAGGCTAAGACCCGCAAGTAGGCTAAGACGTGGATTTGCTACCATCGGGTGGGCTTAGAAAACATGATTTTGCCACTATCTAGTGGGCTTAAAACACACATTTGATGAATTGTTCCAATCCAAATAACCTAACCTTCACCCACAGGCACTCAGGCAGTTATATCACATAAGCAATTAGCCTCATGGTAAGCATGCTATCGTGGCAGTCACTCACACGCATGCAAGGATGCTAAAGCATAAAACTTACCGAGTACTCCAAGCCAAAACAGAAGCTAATTAGAAATCCATGCATGATCCTAATTATGCAGAAATGTCTAATGCAACACATGCAAAAGTGCAACTATAGCAGGCTCGGCTATTCTAGACATGGCATATGAAATGCTACAGTTAACATGTATTCAACTTAGAATTGAAAATACAATGCAGTTAGTATGATGCGCCGAGCCCGGTGCATGCAAAACAGATGAATGAATGCAGACATGCTGTCATACTGTATGCTAATTGAAACATGCCCTAATCTAACCATCATAAGCAGGTAAATAAAAGGGAGAAAGACGTGGGGTTGGAAGACATACATCACACACACGCACACTTATTACAGTTGTGCCCTCGCGCAGAGAGTCCAAATAAATAATATACAGTCCCAAATGAATAATTACAGTCCAAATATGTACAAAACCCTAATTAATTAACAAATTAAATTAGGAAAGCAATAAATTGGCATGCAAGCCAGGGACTGCCTCAAATCTACTCCGGGTGATGAATGATGCATGCTCCGGTTGCCTTTGTCGGAAAATCCCTTGTGATGCCCCGGTTTGCCTCTATTTGCAATTGTTCTTGGAATACGTGCCAAGCTCGGGAAGGCTGCCGATTTCTGATTTGCTGCAACAGAGAGCAACAAAGGGGCATGGCAAAGTATTTTCACATGTGTATGCATGACTACTCTTCGGGGAGTGTAGTCCTCGATCCTCGTGCCACCAATCACGCATATCGATGCATGATGGCCGAGGAGTCGAATTGCACGACTCAATATGAAATGAATGCACATATAAATACAACAAGATCTAAACTCCATCATGGATTATCCGGAGTGTCGGTGACTGGGAATTGAGACACGTTCCGTCACTCGAAGTACGAAACGTCCCTCGTTTCCCGTGCTCGGGCTAACTCCTATCCCAAGCACAATGCAATATGCATGACATGCATGAATGCAACTAATATACAACCTAGCATGCATAATGCTATGAAATGGCATACACAATGCACGAGGTAACATGGCATGCACAATGTGCTAACATACAACCTAGCATACACAATGCTACGAATCGAAATGGTATACACAATGCATAATGGACTTACACCAACATGAGTGGACCTCAGCCACACTCGCATCAGTAGCCATGAGATGAAAATGAGACACTCGAAATGCGTGCACACATGCACGCAAACCGAGGACCGATCCTAAGACACAAATGTCACTCTAACAAGACATGGCAAGGCATGGAATATGGTATGCAATCATGCAAATTTCAGTACTGAAATGTGATGCAAAATGATCCCGAAACATGGAAACATGGCACCCGATGCATGGAATGGCCCCGAAACACAAAACTAGGCATACGCATTGGCCTATAGCTATACAAAACATGCATTATTTGATCATGAAGCATGAATACAGATGCAAGACAGTCCTAAGACATGCATATTTCCAGTTTATAACAAGTCCCAAAAATGAATGCAAATGGGTCTAATCTATCATGCAAAAATGGCCTCAAAAGAGAGATTAAACACAAAGGGATAGTAGCTGGCCCCAAATGGCAAAGAGCCCTTCAACAAAGTTGAATAGGGGCTCAAAAAAGGGCACTTTCCAGTTTACATCAAGCCACGAAAATAATCACAAATAAGGCCAAACTATCATGCAAGAAAAGGCCTAAAAGAGGGGCGAAGAGACAAGTGGCAGCTGCTGTTCTCAAACGGAGGAGAGCCCTTCAATAATGTTGAAGAGGGGCTCAAAACAAGATTTTTCACAGTTTATGGAAAGGTCCAAAACAGCTCAAAAATAGGCCTAAAATACTATGCAAAAATTGGCCTAAAAGAGAGATAAAGAATCAAGTGACAGCAGGAGGCCTCAAACAGAGGAGAGCCCTTCAACAATGTTGAATAGGGGCTCAAAACAAGTTGTTTTACAGTTTATGGAAAGGTCCAAAACAGATCACAAATATGCCTAAAATACTATGCAAAAATTGGCCTAAAAGAGAGATAAAGAAGCAAGTGACATCAGGAGGCCTCAAACAAAGAAAGACCCTTAATCAAACATGAAAAGGGGCTCAAAATATGACTATTTACAGTTAGGGTCGGAGCCCAAAAAAGCAAGAAACTAAGGCTTATAGATGAAGCAAGAAAAGACTATAAAAGGGAAGAAAATGACTCACCCTTGTAGAACCAAACTTCAGCAGCCTTTGGACCAAGGAAAGGTGCTCCTAAACTCTGAAAAACAGCCTCAAGTTGCTGGAAGTGGAGTGTGGGTTGATAGGCTATGAGTTGGTGTAGAAAAGGTGTAGGAGCAAGGGTATTTTGAGGCTTGGAGTAGAGAGAGAGGGAGGCTTCAATGCAAGAGCTCCAATGGATTTTTCTAACCCTTGAAAATGCAGCTGAGGGGTTGGTTATATAGAGGAGAGGAGTGGAGAAAAGGGGGGGGGGGGAAAATCAAATTCAAGTTTCCCCCCCAAAAGAGTCCCCCTCGGATACAGGATCTGGGGGGAAAAAGAGGTCACAGCTGGAAGGAACAGGGAGTGGGGGTCATGGCCGGCCAGGTTCAGAAGGTTCAGGTGGCCGACCGGCCACCTCCCATGGCCAGCCGACCAAGGGCCAAAAGGGGCAAGCACAATTACTAGTCGGCCACCTCATATTGGTGGTCTCCCATGTCTGCACAACACAACTATGTGGTGGAAACTCAGAAAAAGTGAACCAGGAGAGAGAAAAGACCATTTTTCAGAGGGGGTCAAAAGGGTCAGGAACAATTACTGGTCGGCCACCAAATATTGGTGGCCTCCCAGGTGTGTACATCACAAATATGGGGTTTAGGGTTCAAGAAAGTGGCTCCAGGGTGGTCAACATTGGCTTTCAAGTGAGGAAAACGGGCGTCGGAGAGCGAGTAAGAAATAAAGCTGGCTTTTCAGAACAATTGCTGGCCTCCCACCCTCCTACAAGCTTCCTAAATATGAAAATAAGGTCTCCACCAAAAATGAACCAAAACGGATGCAAAACGGAGGTTTGGGGACAAAAACGCGCGGCCCGAGGCCCCGAAAATGGGATATTAAGCACCGGAGGTGGCATTCGACCACGAAGTTGGTCTCTCGGGCCACAGTGTTCCTCAAAAGGGAGGAAATAAGGTGTACGCCAAAAACCGGAGCAAACGGAGGTGGTTAGGCGATCCCGAACTGAGGCGCACGGCCGTCGGCTCCAAAAAATCAGAAACCAGGCTCCAAACAGGAAAAATGGCCTACGACCACGAAACGTAGCCTACGGCCACTGAGAGATGATCTGCGAGACCTCTCCCTCCCTTCGGGAAGAGAAACAGAGAAAACAGAGCCTGGTTCGCAAACCGAGGCAAGGTATGAAAGAGTCCGGAAGTCCGAAGGCAAGGCTCAAAGCCGAGACTCTGAAACTTCTGAACGAGCACTATATGCAATATCACCGAGTGCTCAACTGGTGACGTCTGAGTCTTAAGGTCAGTCAAAATGGGGTGTCTACAGTTGCCCCTCTTTGACAGAACTCGGAAGTCATAAGTGACGGGAGTGAATGTCAAAGCCAAGAGACGACCCATTTTTGACAAGGCCGAAGACTTAGACAAACAGGCGAGATAAACAGAGATGCGCCCGCAGGCATGCCCGCAGGCAGGGGCAAAATGCAACCGACAATGCAAGAAGCCAAAGGTATCTCAATGCAGCAAGCTGTAATGAAGTACATATTCACAATAGATGCAACAATTTTAAGCAAGAATGCAAAGCAACAACTACATTTCATGCAGTTAAGAATGCGGAGAATTTATTCGATTCTCGCCATGTCTCACACGGAGAAGATACAATACCTGCGCGGTTCGTCTAGTCGCACCAGCCTCAAATGAACCGTACATACAATATCGTGCCTGCAAAAGAAAGGAACTCGACAAGCACAACATAATTAGCAACACATGTTCAAAGCGATATTGAATGCTGACAATCGCGGCATCGATAGAAAGGTGCATCGCAATGCAAGGAATAACGCGCGTGACAACGCGGGTTAAGCACGAGGATTTGAAAACACCTGTGAAATGTGCACAATAGTATGAGTGGTGTGCATGAGAATGCAAGTGACGTTCATAACAATGCAGAATAAATGTGAATTCGAATGCGAATTTGTCATA